TCAAATGAGTATGTACCTTCAAGGGACAGTGATTTCAGTATTATGTCCCTTGTATCTCACAATCCAAATAGTCAAATGAGTATGTACTTCAGCACTTTGATCAGTTAGTGTTATGTAATGAATGTGTAATTTTCACAATATATATGATACAAATATATTTTCTCTTCCTCTCTTTCTCTCCTCCCCTCCCTCCCCCCCCTCCCTTCCTCCCTCCCACCTGAATGTTTTTATTAGTTTTTATCACAAATTACCTTTTATTGATTATTTTGTTTTATTTCTTTTCACTTCAGCTGAACCCCAGGTGTTTAAGGCCTACCCAATGGCAGCCCCTCTGGCACAAGTTTCAAATCGGGCTCCAATGCCACCCAAGCCTCAGATACCCACGAAACCCCAAGAGCAAGGACAAGGAAAGCGTCACGTTTGTGAGATCTGCACAAAATCCTTTTCCCGATCTGATAAGCTAACATTACATAGACGCACCCATACTGGAGAAAAGCCATATGCCTGCTTTTGTGGGAAAAGATTTGCAAGAAGTGATCATTTAAAAATACATGCCCTTAAGCATAAAATTAACCCAGAAGTTCGGCGTGCAATGTTGCTTGAAGCAAAAAATAACAAGCACTTTAGTCCAATTAAAAATTTAGAAGATTTTGACATAAAAAAGGAGACAGTAGAAGCATCTCTGCAGGTGAAAACTGAAGTAAATTTGGCCATTAAACAAGAAATTGGGGAAGGAACAGACCAGGTTAATATACCTGTATATGATGACCCTAATAAACAGGAGTGTAATGTTTGCCAAAAAGTTTTTGGATCCATTTACAAACTTTCTCGACATCTGCGAACACACACAGGAGAGAAGCCATATGTCTGTTTTTGTGGCGACAGATTTAGTCGCTCAGATGTCCTTCGCATTCATCAAAAATCTAAACATATTCCTTATAGTACAGAGGGCTATGATCAGCATACAGGTCAAGCACTGCCCCAAGTGGCACCAATAACACCAAAGCCCAAGGTTAAGAAGGCCCCAAAGGTTATGAAGTCTGATGGAATATATACATGTGAATATTGTGCTAAGGAGTTTAAAGCTGGATATAAGCTCACAGTCCACTTAAGATATCATACAGGAGAAAAGCCTTATGTGTGTGACTTCTGTGGGAAAGCTTTTGCACGCAGAGACCATATGAAAAAACACAGAAAAATTCATACAAAGTGAAATAGCTGGGAAAGATTATTCAGAATTCTTTGGAATCCATCAGAAGAACATGATACTGATCTTTTGGCAAAATTGAAAGTCCAGATAGCATAATCAGAGATATTTTTATAGCTGACTGATATACTATACAAACCAATTTCAAGTAGAATAACTTACTATCTTCTGCATTATCAGATTGTTTTACTTACTGATAAGTGGCAACGGTATGAAGACATGAATGTAATCTAATGATTTTTATGAAGGAATGTAAGTTAATAATTACATGCGCAATTATTTATAGAGTTCAATCCTGGTGGTAATTAAAACAGGGTTACAGGTTAACTATTTAAGCCTAAATTAAATCTTTTAAACATGGGATGGAGCAACATTTTTGTAAGCATAATCTTACCAATATCAATTGAATGACTTTTTATTCTAAGATTTCAAATAATGGCATAGGTGTCATACAGTGTAGTTCACATTTATGTATTTCAGGCCATTTTCATAACCACTTTTTAACTTTTCATGTACATCTTTTGTAATCATGACTATGAACTGGAACTTATAAAATGTAAATTCCTTATTTTTTGTACTTTTTTTTAATGTAAATGTTGTGAATGATTTTCTAAGTACTACTGTTAAAGTATATACCTGTTTTGGTACAAATAACAAGAAATACAGGAGTTTTGTATTCAAATTGTAATATATTTTACTCATTTATAAACTGATGTAAGTCTGCCCAGTTTTCTTCCCAGTGAAAGAATTAATAAATAGTGTTAAGTTGATGAACCCTATTAGTGTATTTGGTTCTTTATTACTATTGCTTTAAGTTTTTATCTGAAATTATGTGAAACATCCTATTATACAGGGTGGTTCAAAAGAAATGTTACCCAGATTACATGATATATTTGTTACACATATATAGGATGTGCTTATGCATGACATACAGTAGTTATTTACTGTGTCAAACAAAAATGGTAAAATAGATTCAAAGCATATTTTTGAAGTACAAAGTATTTCAAAGCACATTTTACCATGTTAGCAGACTTTGTGTCTGGTTGCTAAAGGAATATTTACAATTTCAATTTCACTGTTTGCCTTCCATTCTTCAGTGTGTATGGGTTTGTCTGAATGACCATTCCTTCCGGGTGCCCCATACAAAGTAATGAAATGAAGATCTGACACTCGTATAGAGTTTTTAGAAACAAGTCTACTATCAAAAAATCCAGCAGGAAGATCATAGTTTCCTTTGATGTGTAACATGGTGCCACTCATAAGGACATTCTTTGTAAGAAGTGCAATGAACTATGTGATTATATACTGGTATATATGACCATTCACTGTTGTCTCAAAGCAAATAGGCTCACTGTATACCTTCCTTACAACAAACCTTACTCTCATTTCTGGGTGATTCAGGGTTTTTCCATACAATGGATTTTCACTGCACCTCATATTACTGACAAGATATTTGCTTAGGTAGAACCATGCTTTTTTGTTAATTATGCTGACTACTACTCCTCAAAGTGTTCTGGAACACCATGCAATACTGGAAACACTACATGTCTAATTGTTTTGCATGTTGAACCACCTAAACCCCACACGATTTCTCAGCAGTTTTATGTGCATTAGAATAAGACATTTATGTTATGTTGGAAGCTAACAAAGACCTCTGTTTTTTCTCCTTATAACTGTAACCTAACATCTTCAGCCTTTTCATTAGGCAACACATGGTCATCCACTTTCTTTTCTGTGATGTACAAATTCAATTCATAATGGGCCACTGGGGAAGATGAGGTCATCCTTGAAATTATATTTTCACTTGTATGTAATATCATTTTGCAAAGTATCATTTAGGAATACAGACACTGCACTTGGGGAAAACATGAAGTAGTAGTTACTCCTTTTATTGCACAGGAGGAATGCTAAGGCATCATCAACACATCAGTGGTAGCATGTGCAAAGAAAATAAAATTGCAGATTATTTTCCATTACTTCAAAATGGGTAATGTTTTCTTTTTTTGAATCACTTGCAGTTTCATAGTCATTTAGAAATGAGTAATTTCAAATTCAGTCAGTGAAATCCTATTTTTTTATATATTTTTGTTTTTTTATCATTATTTAGTTATTTTTGTTATTTTAGTAATATGTGATAAAGATTGGATCCAATGGAAAATAGTGATAAATATATATGAACAAGTTTTTTCTTATGAATGGTATATGTATCTTAGAGATTTGTTTATTTAGGCAGTCATCTAGCCATTTTTGAAATCATGTCTCCCAGTCATCTGAAACTATAGGTGAAGTTCACTTCAAGTTTTGCTTCAGTTATTCAGCTATTACTAACCACCACTAACCTAAGCTTACTTTGGAGGAATGTTATTGTATCCTTCAGAATGACCCTTAGTGACCATAGTAATGATTTTCCTGATGAGGAGGGTTCACCACAGAGCAGCATAGGAATCAGTGTATACAGGTCATTGAAACCTATTTTTAAGGGATTATATCCTTTGATATTCTTGAGTTCTAAGATTCTTTAATTTATATTTGCCATGAAATGGATGGACATTACAGTGAGGAAACATTTGGAATGAATTTATCTATCTTCAGAGAGAAGGAAAAGTATTTGGTAACGTCTTTATTTTTCAGTATAGTAGAAATGTTAATGAATGGACTTTGATGAATATAGGGAAACATGAGAAGAAAATGTATATTCATATTTTAATCTATGTGCATATATATATTTTTTACTCTGAAAGTCCAGCAGTAAAGTATGATAAAAATTATTCTTTATAAAATACAGTTTCTACATACAGCTATCACACAACAAAACATATAAGTATAAGAGCTGACAGATTGTAATAGAGTATAATTACTTAATTTTGTTGCCTTTTATGGGTCTAAATATATAAATGAATGATATAGTTAATGTTCCCATTTGTGCCATCTATGCAGTGTTGATCACTCCTGAAGGGAGAATGTTTGATTTTTTTCTTTTGAAATAAAGAGAGAAAACTCTAATAAACTGGTCATTATGGTATGGAATCTCCTCCTAGGAAAAATAGAATCATATAATTTTATTCCTAAATGATTTTTAAAAACTTCATTATAGAAAAAAATATTTAATTGTTTATACATTAAACATGTTTAGATTTTAGTTCAATAAGTTTGCAAGGGTCCAATTATTGTATATAATAAACTATTACATTTCCTTGCAAAGCTTATCAAAAGGTGGTTCTGATTTTAAAGAGAGCTTCCGTACTACAAACCTAATGAAATGAAAGTAGATATTTTGATTGGTAATTTATTTAAAATCAAGTGAAAATTGTGGAATATATACATGTGTACTGATACTATTTCGTATCTACAGTGAATTGCACTAATGTCAGTTTGATAAGCTTACTTTTGTATAATTTGATGAAAAAAATTGTACAGTATAAACTGATGATAACTGACTTTCAATATATTATATGTATTACCATTTATTAAGGAGTGCTATACATATGGGTAGGTAATAACAGAAAAAAATTATACCTTGTAGGTGCAAAGATGACAAATAATGTTGAACCCAGTGTATTGGGCATATTGTCCCTGTTATTATAAGAATTGGTATGACCTGCTGTTGTAGCAGAGTAATGCCAGTATTTGTTAACTGTTTCCATCAATAGTAAAATGATGAAAAGCTCAGACATTTGCTGTTGACCCAGTGAGCAATAGCTAGTCATAAGAATACTCTTTCAATATATACTCTAGTCATAGATGTACTCTATTTGTAGTTACAGGTAAAGACAAGTACCTTGCCTGGTTTTGCCCATTTTTATTTTTATTTTTTAAATTTAAATTTCAATATTGGTAATTTTGTAATGTATACTCTGACAGTACATGCTGATAACTGGATTTCCATTGAATAAAAGTTGGGAAAACTTGCAAGGTATTATTGCATGGTTGATATACATGTAGATAATTTACCAATGAAATGGTATAATTGATATACTCAGCATTCCAGAGTTGCGTGGTACAAAACCAAAAGCAATGCATATTTTTTTGTTTTCCTGGGTCTAGGGATTATGGATATTGTCTTCATTCTCTTGACAATATGGCAGTTCAAATTATCAAACAAAGAAAAAAATGGAATGGTTAATAATCCCATGATCTTTAGTCATTGATCAATATTGAATTGTGCTTAGTAAGTTCTTGATGCTGAGATACACAGTAATAGTTATGCATACAATCAGAAATATGTACATAAACATTAATGTTTTTTATTACAGATGTTGATATTGCTTAACAGTGGATACCTTGGTGGCTTCCATGAGAGTAAAGTATAGTGCCACATCTTGTCTTGGGAGCCTGACTGTAAGATATACAAATGCTAAGTTTGCATTAAGTTATGATAAAGGCAGTTGAATTTATCTTGACAAGAGGATAATTTGTATAATTATAAATATACTGTATTTTCTCTCAAGGAATCCTATTGTAATGCAATGCATTTTTTTACTGTATTTAGACAATCTAGTAAAAAGATTGGTTAATACAATGTTTATTGTAGTTTTAAAAATAGGTTGTAAGGTTTGTAAGGATACTGATTTCCACTTTATGTAGAATTTTTGTATATAGTGTTAAAGCATTGACAATTGCTTTGCAATTCTGTTAAAAGACAGTTCTAAAAGATTTTGGTGCAAAAATAATTACTGCGAGGGTTGGTTTACATATCAATTTACTTTTTTTTTTTTTTAATATAGATCTGTACTGTTTCTTTACTATCAGTACTTACAACCTGTAAGCTTCATGCAGTTTCATGATTTAGTGATTATGCAGCTTGTAATTTTAGGCCTATGTGTAGAGATTCCTGTAATAAGTTTGATATTTGTATAGAATGACATTAAATAAAATGTTTTCTTTTCCATTACTCTTTTTCATTATAACAGATGAACCAGGGAATTGGGCCTAAAAAGGAACATTGTGCTGTCAAGCATGGATGTTGTTTGGATATTTCGAGAACAAATGTAGAACTACAATCTTTCCGATCAGCCAAAGAGTCGACAGTTCCTGTTATAAACTATTTTTTCGAATTCGTGAATGTTTTGTGGATAGCAGTAAATCATGTTGCATTTTTAACAAATTTCCACATGTACTAGCACTAATACCTTGCGGTATCCAAGCAACATCAGTAAATCTTAGGCTTACATAATGAATACACATATTAGTGTGCAGGAGGAGAAATTGGAAAGTTGAAATCACCTAGAAAATGACATGTGAAATCAAGGTAATTACCCATTCTGAATTTACCAATGAAATTGTAGTAATTAATTCTCAATTTACTAATAAAATAAATCTCTGTAATGGCTGTAATGGATAACTTTTGTCTAATTCATGTACTTATAGAAACTAGGACCTAGAACCGAGAGAAAGTTCATGAAATGTATCAAAAATCAAATACCTACTCAACTCCTGCTCTCCACCTATACATTTGCTTATTTATTTAGTGTACCTTATTATCGCAACATCGCATATTTCTTTCCAAGAGCAATATTTTAAAACTAGCCTTACCTGTACACTTATTTCCCAGATATCTTTGACATTGAGATACAGTAAAGACACGCATGATTTGCCTCCCTCCATTCGGTCCAAAGGGATGTGCCCAAGACTAAGTTACACCCATGTCTTATTCTTCAGGCCATTAAAGTCAAGTTAGAAACTTATGTCATGTTATGGTTAGAAGCAAAATGAATGTGATAGACATCGAAGTTCATATAGTACTATAAGAGGTACAATATTGGGAAGAGTAGACATTTTAGTGTGAGTTATTGATTAGGTGTTGTACAGGTTTTCAATGCCCAAAGTATGGGATTCCATCAGGATATCTGATAGGTTTGGAGGTCTGTGTAGGGAAGACAGGTGAGGGAAATCAGCAGTGCGGGTTGTGGTAAACCGTGGACAGGACAACAGGAAGTGTGTGGCTGAAATGGAAACATTACATAAGAAACATAGAGGCAGGTCAGATCGTGACATAAGGTAGGAAAGCGGAAGGCGAGTATGACTGAAACGCAAGCTTGAAAGAGCAGTCACCTAATGTCTGTTTTTGTATGAAAAGTTGACCAGGAGGAGATTGGTGGTTATACTGTATGTAATTTATTGTGACAAGACCTGACCAGAAGGTTTGTCATCGAGCTTAAAGGCAAGTTTTAAAGTAAGGGATATAATCCATGGCTGAAATACGTGAGAGACTAGGATTGTGCGGTGTGGGCATAGTGGATGAGCGTGTTAGGGTGTCTGCCTGTTCATTGCCTAGGATTCCAACATGATAATAG